GGGCACAGAAGTCCAGGCTGATGGGACGCTTGTCTCTGAAGTGTATAGATTGAGATAATGAGGCTCAGAGAGGGGCAGGAATAAGCCGAGGGCCACACAGCAACATTGGGCAGGGTCAGAACTGGCAACCTGACTCCCTAACTGCCATTCATTCGTTCACCCAATAAAAATTGGTTGAGAGCTACCTTGGGCCAGGCCCTTCTTAGGTGCTGGGGATACAACAGCAAATAAATAGTATGTCCCTTTCTGGACTAGTGGGGACAGAGGCATAAAGAGATGAACAATAAAAATCTACTATGTCAGATGGTGAAGCAAAAGGAAAGAGGGAAAAAGGGAAGAGGTGACCAGGGTGGCTATTTGAGGTCAGATAAGTCAAGAGAAGGTGACATTTGAACACTGAGGACAAGTGAAGTGAAGGAGCAGCCCATGCAGGTATCTGGGGGGAGTGTAAAGGCTGTGAGGTGGGAATGCAGGCTGTGAGGTGGGAACAGCAGGATGGCCAGTGTGCCTGGAGCAGAGCAGAGAGGAAGGCAGACAGAGGGGTGAGGGATGTGACCAGAGAGGTGAGGGGAGGGCAGACCATGTGGGGCCTTGGGGGCCTCTGGAGAGACTTTTGTTCTTGCTCCAAGTTTGATGGAAGCCATTGCAGGATTTTGAGCAGGGAGAGACACACCTGAATTGGTTTGAACAAAACAGACCATAGGGGACAGGGTGGAGGTTTGAAGCCCAAGGAGGAGGCTGCTGCAGCCACCAGGCAAGAGGTGATGAAGGCCTGAAGCTAGATGGGGCTGGGAAGCGGATGTTGGTGTCATTGGTGTCGTCAATCAGAGTCTGGTATATTCTGAAGGGGAAGCTAATGAGTTGGATATGGGGTGGCAGAGACAAGGAGTTGAAGACATCACTGCCATTGAAGCCCAAGGCCAAGGCCACTCTAGGATCTCCTGTCCTCATTCTTTCAGCAAACATTCTGAGCACCTACTGAGGGCCAGGCCCTAGGTGAGACACTGAGGTACAGAGGTGATCGAGGCAGGCCTGGCCCCCGGGTAGGTGTGGGGGCAGGAAAGGCATTCTTTGGCATCCAAGATGGGCCTGGCCTGCCCCTAAGTAGGAGCTACCAAGGGAGAGAACAGAACCCAGGCCCCAGGCACAGGAGACAGTCTGATGGATGGCAGGAGAGGGCTGAACTGATTCTTGGAGCTTTTGAATGTGTTAAACAGCAGACAGCTGCTTATAGACTAAGGGGAGAGCAAAGGAGATGAGAGTGTTCCCCAAGGAGCCTCTCCAAGGAGCGGTCCTTTGTTACCCCATGGTTTCCAAATTGTTCAAATCATGTGCCCACTCAGCAATGTTTGCTCCCTAATATGTGCATATTTTTTTAATATTTATGCACATGTATATCCATTTTAAGACAATATGTACAGAGTATGACACAAATGAAAATGAACATTAAAAAGATGACATATGGGCCTGGCTGGCATGGCTCAGTGGTTGAGCATTGACCTAGGATCCAGGAGATCATGGTTGGATTCCCAGTCAGGGCACATGCCCAGGTTGTGGGCTCGATCCCCAACAAAGGTGTGCAGGAGGCAGCCAGTCAATGACTTTCTTGTTGATGTTTCTATCTCTCTCTCTCTCCCTCTCCCTTCTTCTCTCTGAAATCAATAAAGACATATTAAAAAAAAAGATGACATATGGCCCTGGCCAGTGTGGCCCAGTTGGTTGGGCGTTGTCCTGTGCACTGAAAGGTTGCTGGTTTAACTCCCCGTCGGGGAACCTCCCTGGTGGGAGCATGCAAGAGGCAGCCAATCGATGTCCATCTCTCACATCGATGTTTCTTTCTCTCTCCCTCTCCCTTCCTCTCTCTCTAAAAATCAACTAAAATATCTTTTTTAAAAAGATGACATATGAAATCATGTAAATTGAGGTTCTAGTAGTTTCCTCCTGTTTTCCAAAGGATTGCCTTGTATACACCCCGGGTTGACCCATCTTCAAGGTAGAGAGGCTGCACTACACTGATCTAACCAGCCTGCTTCATGCACACATTCACATACACATTCATGCGCACACACTCTTAACCTCCTGTTTCCTTCCTGCCCAGACCAGCTGTCTCCTCAGCCCTCACGCACCATCTTCCCATTGTCCTCTGCCCACCCGCCTTCCTACCACCTGCCCTGCAACACTTCGAGCCTTCACCATCCCACCCTCAGGCCCCCCTCCAGGGAGCTCTTGGCCTCCTCACACTCTGGAGTCAACCCAGTGGGGGTCTCAATGCCACCCTGAAATTTGTGCGTGTCTCTTCAGGCACCTATTTCCAGTCCCATAAGGGTTATTCCAAACCCCAGACTCCTTAGGCCTTCATGCCGAACCCCACCCCATCCTCTCACCAGACCATGGACTTCCTACTATAACAAGAAATAGGGCCTAGGAGAGGGATGCCCCTCAGCAGCCTGCCCCACACCTGCAGATTCACCTGTGCACCCCCCAGTCCCCAGAGCCTTTCTCTGGCTCAGAGAGAAGGGGGTCCTCCAGGGGCCAAGGCCGCTTTCCAGCCTAGGCTGGAGTCCCATCCTCTGCAGCCCCTCGACCTCCTCAAACCAACCGTCCCTCCTGTGTCTCCATCCACTTCTTCCTCTGCTGGTCCTTCCCCTTCATGTTTAATCATATCCAAGCATCTTCCACGTTTCAAAAGGAAGAGAAAGCAGAGGAGGAAGAGAGGAAACAAGCCTCTTCACCCCACAGCCACTCTGACTTCTGGCCTGGCTCTCAGGAGTCCACATGCCCTACCTCTGCTTCCTCACTTCCCACTTCCTCCTTCCCCCAGGGTCGCCTTCCACATCCCACATCCCACTTCCCACATCCAATGGCCACGGCTCAGTCTTCACCATACTTGACCTCTTGACAAATTTAGCACTGCCGCCCAACACCATCCTTCCAGAAACTGTCTCTATCAGCAAATGTAAATCTACAAGATATGCTGTTCCCACCACTTTCCCTACCTCCATGGCCCCACCCTGGCCAGCCACCATCCTGGGCTCCGTTTCCACCCTGGCCCCCACAGTCCTTTCTGCACTCAGCAGGCAGAGGGGTCCTGTTCAAACCTCAGTCAGATCCTTCCCTCCTCTGCTTGGATCCTTCCCAGGGTTACCATCTCTCCAGGATTAGAGCAAAACTCCTTACCTCCTGGAACACCCCTTCCCCAGACACCCCCAGGTCTCAACCCCAACCTCCCTCTGGTCTTTGCTTAAATGTCACCTCCTCAGAAAGGCCCTCTTTGTCCACCCTATTTAAAATAGCCACCTGCCGTCTATCCCTTCACATGGCTTTGATTTTCTCTCTTAGCACTTATTGCCACCTGTTCTTAAAAGCATTTCTTTTGGTCTGTGAGCTGCAAGAGGGTAGGGACCATGCCTGTTTTGTTCACTGCTGGCTTCCCCAGGGCCTGGAATAGTGCCTGGCACATAGGTGCTCAATAAATGTCTCCTGAATGCACGGATGTTCCTCCAGTCTCTCAGGTTGCTCCAGCTTCTCCCCCAATCCTGAAATGTTGGTGTTTCCCAGGACTTAATCTCAACTCTTGGTTTCCTCTCACACTCAGTGGCACTGCCCTCAGGGCTGCCCCCACCACTCTTGCAGCACTGTCTCCAACCTGCTCCGCGATTACACCAAGTGGGCATCTGATGGGTTCCTGTGCCCCAAATCCATAACCCTGAGAGCCCACAGTGTCTCAATTTTGAAGTTGTCTGACACCCAGCTCTCCCCTCCCCTACTCACCTCTCTCTGTTAAGGTATTACCACCCAGACAGCGGGCCTCTGCACCCTGGGGCTGTCCTTTACCTCCCCTTCCCGCCCTCCCAGGCAGCAGGTCCTATCCATCCTGCCACCTCAGCTTCTCTCGACACATCCACCCTCCCGTCTCCCTGGCCGCTGCCCTGGCTGCTGCCCTGGCTCAAGCCTCACCAACTCCCACCTGGCTTCTCTACCCCAAGTTTCACCCTCTTATCCTCTTTGATGCCCCTGAGCACCTGGTGCTTGGGCAACACTGGCCAAACCAAAGGATGGATTTAAACCAAAGGCTCTCAGGTCAGGTCACCCAGCTCATCCCTTCAGCTTGCACTGGAATGTTCTCTCCAGGCGTCCATCCACCTAGCCTGATAATCCTGGGCAGGGGTCCCCATAGAGCGCCGTGGGGCAAAGGTCACTGATGTGGGAGTCAGGCAGACCTGAGTTCCCATCCTGACCCTGGCACTTACTTGCCACATGGCTCTGGATGAGCAAGTCTGTTTCCCCATCCGCAAAATGGGAAAAACAACAGTGTGTCAGGGGGTGGCTGGGAAGACCGGTGAGATCACTCACGCACCACTCGCAGCCCGCTGCAGGGCTCCAGTCTCTGCTTCGCGAAGGCATCAGTAACCCACCTGGGCAAAATGCAGTAGGTTGGCAGGCTTTCGCTTAATTCAACGCAGTCTCTTGTTTGACCTCTGCACCACTGGGTGGGGGAGGCTCAGTCTTGGTCAAGTCAGTCCAAGGGTGGCAGATA